ATAATTTTTTTTATTAAATTAGTTTTGATTTTAGTATTATTTTATTTCTATTCACCAGCATAAATCATCTTAAATCTTAAAGAAATAAATTCTATATTAAGGTAAAAATTAATTTAATATCTATAACAATTCTCTAATGAACTTTTCGTTTTTCAAAAAAAAAAGAATGTATTTATTGTATTTGATTTATTTAATTTCATTACAAAGGAAAATTATAAATTATTATCAAATTGTTAAAAGTTAGTCAAAAAAGAAATATTATTTCAGTTATTTTTGAATATAATATAAACATAAAAACAAATACTTTATTAGTAATTTTTTACTTTAAAATATAGAATTTAATTATTTTCACTCGGAGATTTAATAATTGTTTTATGCTTCATTGAAAAAAGCTTGTTTGAATATACCCTTAATATAAGAAATTCCTATCATCATGAAACATAAACACATAACTAATCCTAAAAGAGAGCCAATGGAAATAAAGATAATATCTCTACTTGCCAAAGTATTTGCTTGACATCTACCATTTGATACATGATAATCAAGTTTACATTCAACACATCCATTAATATCACAATTTTTACAATTTTTATCACATAAAACACATTTTCCTTTACTAACATAATAATTCTCAATACATAAAGAACATGTTGTTACATTACATCTATTTTCTGCACAAAATGGGCAAGGTGGGGCAATACACTTTCCATTTTTTTCAGTATATGTTGGCATACAAGTTTTACATCCATACCCATCTTCACACGTTGAATCACAATGAGAATCACATCTCAAACATTTATTTGATAGAAAATAATATTTATCTTCGCATGAAACACACCCAACTTCATTTTCACATTTTTTACAACCTTTTTCACAATCCATACAAACACCATTTTTAATGTATTGAGTTTGATTACATTCTAAGGCAATAGCAATATAAAAGACTTGGGCTATAAGCAACAAAGACATTTGTTTTAATCAAATAATAAGTTTAGTTCTATAAGAAAAAAAAAACAACCAAATTAGTTGATAACTTTTACTGAAAATAGAGTTGAAACATATTGAATTTATTATTAAATTCCATAGAACAAAAAAATATTATTAGAAGAAATAATGAGTGAAAACTTCATACACTCATCCTATTCTAAAAATCAGTTCCCAAAATTATTTACTATTTTATCAGATATTCATGGAACTCATAGACAATTTATATTACCAAAGACAAATTATTTATTATTATGTGGGGATTTTACTATTAGAGGATATGGTATAAAAGACTTTATTCAATGGATTGAAAATCAACAAGTTGACGTACTTATTTCTGTTCTTGGAAATCATGAAAAAAAACAACAAATTAAAACATTAGAAAAAATTAAAGGTAAAATTAAAGAAGTTCATGCTCTTGATGGGAATTATCTCCATATTAATGAATTTCAATTTATTGGTTCTGGATATAAGTTCAATATTCATAAAAAAGAAATTAATAAAATTAATCCAAAATATCCTTTAATTTGTCTTTCTCATGAACCTCCTTTTAATATGATGGATTATGGTATTAGAATGAGACAATTAATAAATGGAGAATTTTTTCATGCTGGGTCAAAAGTAGTTCAACAATTTATTCAAAAAGTTCAACCAGACCTTCACTGTTTTGGACATTGTCATTCATCTCATGGAATATGTAAAGTTGGAAAAACAACTTTTGTAAATGGTTCTATTGTAGATGACAATAACTCTTTATGTTTTAAACCATTACAATTAAAATATTATAATAAAAAATTTATTCCATTAACTCAATCAAAATGTATTACTTTAAATCAATTCATTCAACAAATTAATCAAAAACCATCAAAATTTATTTATGATAATAGAGAATATAAAGAAGAAAAAATTCAACTTATTAAAGATAGTATTGTTAACTAATTCTATTTCATAATTTATTTGACAGAATATATCATTTTCTTATATTTTTTATTCTTGTATTTTCAAAAAAAAACTTTATAAAAACTTCTTTGTTTTAATTTTACTTATTTATTTATACTTTTGATTTTTAATAATTGTATTGAAAGAGTTTGTTGTGTAAAAAACAGGTAATTCTTTAAGAAAATAAGATGAATGAAAAATCAATTGTTTAATAGAAATAAATTGCCTATTTAATAATAGTAAATATTAAAAAAGAATTTATTAATTATAAGAAATAAAAAAAATTTTAAGTTCTATAAAACAAACATATGCTATCAAAATATCAATAAAAGAAAAGAACAGAATATTAAAATAATATACTAAAAAAAATGTTATTATTTTTTAATTCAGTATCTCATGATTTAATAAATATAAAAATTGTTATAACTACTTTTAATAATATTCAAATAAATATTCTTTTTTATGAAAATGAACTTAAAAAGAAAAAAAAAAGAATTTTTCCTCATGTTTATCTTTTTATTTATTACAACTATCTTTGCTTATTGTGATTATTATAAAAATAATACACTCATTCATTTCAAAGATAAACCATGCACATTTAACCCAGAAGAATATACTTTTAGTATTTCTTCTTTAACAGTATTTAATTTATTAAATACATCAAAACAATTAACAATTCAAATGGATAACTCTAATGATGTTGATGTTTTTCTTGGTATTGATAAAATGAAAACAATGATTGAACGTAAACAGTATTATGCGTCAACAGAAAATCTAACAATACAAAGTAATATTTTACAATATCAACACACATTGTCTCTTTATTCTTTCTCATTAGAAAAAGATTTTGAATTAAATGTACAAACAAAAAATACAACTATTAGGTTCTCAAAGATAGATAATGAATTTCCCTTGAAGTATGTTATTAATTCAGTCGAAGGAAACAGAGTTGTTATCGTCCGTAGTTTTATGCCACCTACAGACTATATTCTCCTTAAAGGAAATGTCAATGTTGTAATTCAACCTGCTAATTCAAAAAGAAGAAAAACATGTGAGACTGCATTTATTGGTATTGGAAATATTACTACTACTCCATTTAATTTCGACCTTTATGGTGTTCATCAAGATGACACTTATAGACCAATTGCTCTTTGTGAAAGAAATGGATATACTCGTTTTACTGATTGTGTACAAAATGAGTATGAAGAATATATCAAAAGTGAAGATGCCAAAGAGGGATGTTTATGTAAATTTTTATGGAATGACACAAAAGGAGTTCATTATAATAAATGGGATTGCCAATTATATTCACAATATCTAGATTTAATTGCTTATTTACCTAATTCAGTAATTGAAGGAAAGTGGAATGAAGTACTTGTTAAAAATACTAATGCTACTTTCAATAATGTTGAAATAAATACATTAACTTTGAATAACACAAAATCAATAGGATATATTAATACAAAACATCTTATCGTTATTGGAAAGTCTTTCACTGAAAATATTCAAACTAATTCATTGGAATTGAATGGTGAATTATACACCCTTCATCTAAACATTCATAAAACAAATTATGTTTTAGGATGTC